CCCCCTTCCTCTCCCTCCCACTCTTTCTCTCATACACGCATACACACACACACACGCAGGCAACTTGGAGAACAGAAGGTGCTATTTTTGTGTGCCTGGTCTGTCTCCTTTGCAAGATGGCTTATTTGGTTCTTGTTCCAGTGTGACTTCCATTTGTCCACACTCCTCTTGGTAAAATGGTGGGACTATTGCTGTTTTGTGTGCCTGTCTGAATGTTAGTTGAGGCAATAAAATCAGCCTTTAGTGGTTAGTTGTAGAATGCACTTAGAACAAATCATTTCAGGAAGCTTCACATTTTAGAACCTTGGAATATAAATGTTGTACATATTTTACTGCACAGAATAATTTGTAAATAGACACCATTTATTGGATCCCCCCCTCCCCCACTTTAAAAAAAAAAAATTTGATTTAGCAAATTACATGATGATTTTTTGTTGTTTCAAAGATCATTTCAATTTTACAGGTTAGATGTGAAATTGTCCATAATTTTCTGTGTCACCTGTTGTTGTTCAGGTGTTTGTGTGCATGAATGTCTTTTATCCATCTGTTTGCAGAAGTTGCAGTTGCATTCTGTATCATGCCCTGTGCTTCATCTCCTGTTTCCCAATGAAATGCCTCTGTGAATTGTTTTGCCTCCACAAATGTTGTTTTGAATGAGCATTCAGTTGATTTCTGTTCATACTGCTGACCCTTTCTTTGGCTGTGCTATAATAGATGCTACTGCCGAGGTCTGTGGCTTATTGAAAATCTTTTCCTTTTTTATTTTAAAACTTCTCTCTGGTCAGTGTGTTGCCATGTATTATTACTGATGCCTTTTTTTTTCTTGTCTTGTGGTCTTCGTGTCCAGCTATCCCATCATTTTAAAAAATAATTGTGAAATAGCCAATACCTGCATGTGGATGAGCTACATGAATCAAGTGTCATTTTGTAAGAATTCTTTTTTTTTCTTCTGTTTGCACAATGTACTTAGGATATGTGCACTCTACCAGCGTGCTGCAATAATGGCTTTTGCCATTTATATTTTGAGCAAATAGAAAAAACAAACTTAATTTCATGTCATTTCCAGGCCAGACTCTGGCGACTGAGAATTTTTTTTTTTTCACGTGGAATTCAGTAGTGTCTTTACAGGTACTTATTTTTAATGTGGTGGTCGGCCATCCTATGGGGGAATGCAATGGTGAGCCTGATTTTAACGAGTCATTCTTGTAGCACGTTGAGGACATACTGATGTTGTGTAGCTTTTTAATGAGATGTTCTTTGTTACAATGTACTGTTCTTGAAGTTCCTTTGAGATTAGATATATTTGCATTTTAATAGCCGAATATAGCTTAATGATAGCTCATGGCTTTTGTGAAAACATTCCATTGGGCTCAGCTCAAAGCTTATTCCAAGAGCATCACAAGTAAGAAAAAAAGTGAACCTCCTTTCTATAAAATATTTGAAATTGATAGGTTTTTGATAAGCTGTTCTCTCTCTCTCTCTCACTTTAAAAATCAAAAATAGAAAAATCGCATGTCATTATGTTTTTGTGTGAGATTTACGAAAACTCAAGCTTGTTCTTCCCACTCCCCCCTCTCCTGGAGGTACAGATTGTCAGTCGACAGAGTTTATTTTTTGAGCTACATAAGTGGACAAGAAGGGGTAGGACTAAAGAATCAAGTTATAAGTGAAACTTCATCTTAGGTATATAGGCATCTTGTTTGAATGATTCGGCTGAAGTTACTGTTGTGCTGTTTTTTTCCTTTGAACTTGAAGTCTTCTGCACTTGTTCCAAACATCCATTTATGTCTAGTTGGAATTGGAATTGAAAATGTTTCACTGAAAAGAGCTGATTTATGTCACACTGGAATTGAAAATATTTCACTGAAAAGAGCTGATTTATGTCACACTGGAATTGAAAATGTTTCACTGAAAAGAGCTCAAAACGTTAAGTGCATAATTATCATCCTACTGCATTTAGCGCTGTATTTACAGTTTGGGTACCTGAGCTTCCCCAACATACATTAAATTTAACTTTGTAAAGTTTGAATTTATCTCAGTGCTGCATTTTGAGGTGAAAGTTGTCAAGTTATAACAAATGTATTTCTGATGGGGTTGAATACAGCAAACGGTTTGTAAAGTTAGCTTTATTTCACATCTTTTAGGAAACAACTTGAAGAACAAGTGTACAATGTTTAGTTATTGGCAAAAGTCATTAAAATGCATAATTCTTTAAAGCTTTCAGCAGAAATTGGTGATTGTTTGATTTGTGAGGTTCTGTTCATTTTTATATTTTTCTCCATTGCATGCCTTCTAATGTCCAAAAACCTTGGTGTAAGATATATGGCAGAAATGTTTTCATTGGGCTGTATTCACCTGCACCATTTTTTTCCCCCCAAATTAAAGTGTGAGGCATCGTGGTGAAATCCGGCGCTCGTCAAAATAATGAAATATCGAAGAAATCTGCATTTTTTGGCTAGTTTGGACATTTTGTTTGAATTTTTGTTTTTTGGCTCAACACCTTGTATGGAAAAGCAGTGATTAAAGGCGCAAAAAAAGTAAATTTGCAGTTTCCAAAGACTCCAGCTATGAAAGTCATCAAATTGCGACCTTTTTCTTGCTAATTTTATCTCTGAAACCAGGCGACCCCACCTCCTTCAGCGACATTCGCAAATATCTCGACTTCTATTCAAGATAAATGAATTTTTTCCTCAAAAGAAAGGCAAATGAACAACCTTTAAGACGATATCAATAACTCCATAAGGCCAAAAATTGATGAGCGCCTGGTTTCACTACGCCGTGACACAAATTTTATGTCAAGGGATGGAAACTGAAAAGGATTGACCAGGTCCAAACAATTTTTTCAACTAATTCTGTAAATTATATAATTATAGGAAAATTGAAGAGATACATCTATTCATACAATGCATGCTTGTGTTTTGCTGCAGCATACATGTTACATACAAGTTTTTGTTTGGCTTGTGTTCCTTTACAAAAGACAGATGCTCCCTTCTTATTGCATAGCAATGCTTGTTCCGTACTTAGATTCATGTTTTGTGGCTACTGAAAGTTTTTATATTTGTGAACATCGGATATTTTCAGTGTTAACTAGCAATGTGCATGTTTTCAAAGGTAGTGCATTACTTTCTAGGATTAAATGTCCAGGCTTTTCCTTTTTTTTTGTGAAGAAAATACATTTTCTTCCTTGGCAAGCAGTTACTTGACCTACACTGAGTTTCCTTTGGCAAAAAGCACATAGATGCAAGCCTTTTCCGAGTTGGAGCACTTTTTCCGAAAGGGACGCTGGAAAAAGGAATCTGTGTCCGGGGAGAAAGATAGTTGCAACTCTGGACTTACAAACAAGGACCAAGACTGGTAATTGCTTCTGATGCTGACTATATTTGAAATCAAGCAAACTAAGTATACTGTTCAATAAAGGATGGAATGAAGCTTTGTAGAAATTGATGCTCACTTGGCTGTGCACAGCTGAGTGAGTGAGTTTGTGTGTGTGTGAACACAAAGAGGTGCCACTTCATGGTTCAGCGAGACGATTATTTGTATGTTGAAGTAATTTTTACACATTGAAACATCATCAAATTGCTACTGTGTTTCAGCTATTTGTCTGCAGATCCTTTTGTCCAAATAGTGTAAAAAAAATAAAATATGTTCAAAAATAAAATCTGTAATAATTTTTCAGTCTGGTCTGTTCTTTCCTTGTTCATAATTTCAAATCTGGTCTGTTTCAATGCCATAGTCCAAGACCTTTATCCACAGTATTTTATTGTATTCAGCATTTAATATCTCAATAGATAGCATGCGCCTGTAGAAAGGTACCAAAAGTCACTCCAGGCCATTTCGAGCTACAGGCTGATAATGACCGAAAAAAATCACATTTTTGACCGAAATGTTTCCATAGAAAATGATAGTTCCACCATTTTTTAACAATGGAAAGGGTTTTCATTGATTTGACTTTTAAATATTTTGTTTTGAATAATTTTTGAGAGTAGGGTATATATTATATTGATATATAATGAAAACTGCTTTTTTAAGTGTTAAAATCTCTTCTTCAAACCCGTTTTCTCTTCCCTATATTTTACCATTGAATTCTAATCATATTGATTTCAACTGAATGCCAAATTGGGAATGAATTTTCTATTTTTAAACTTTGTATGTTATATCATTACACCCTAAGGACGTGGACAAAAATTTCGTTTCGGTATCAAACGGGAGAAAAAACATTTTGCAATAACTGTGTAAAACAAAATCTCTGCCCCAGAGTCTCATTAAGGTGAAAATTCGTTTCTAAAGGTGCCTGGTTGGAGCGGGCAAGTCAGGGTGGAGCGCGTAGGGAAATGCAAGGGGGAGTTAGGGTGTATTGTGTTAAACTTAAAAGCTCGTTTTCTCCAAATTATATCTTTATACCCTACTTCGCAAAATGTGCAATATCTCAAAAACTACTTGAGATATCTCAAAAATTCAAAAAACCATGTTCAGCATTGAATTTCCCATAAGGTACAGCCCTCAACTTAAAATGGTCAAAATCCAACTTTTGGTAGACCTACCTTTCTTCAGACACAAACACACATACAGGACATATGTGGAAAATATGATTTTCATTTCTGTTGTGTAATTTTTTGGTATGCAATGAGAATCTCTTCCCATAAAACGCACCATAAAAATTGGAGAAAAAAACTGAAAACAATTGCACAGTATGGATGTGTGACATAAAGGATTTATTTTGGAGAAAAAAAATGATTGCTGATCCCTTTTCCCCCTGACAAAAAGACTAAAAACTGAACCAGATAGCTGGGAAATAAATCAACCATACATTTGAAACATCTCAATAGTATAATCATAATAATATAACAAGAACTGTTTCCTCCATCATAAGAAGCATTAATTAAGAACAAGACTTGGCTAAGCTGGAGTAAGACGGGAAGAAGATACAGGAAAATCTATAAGAATAACATAAAAACAGCTACAGATACCAGGGCGACGGGATACATAGCTACTGTGAACTGAGCTAACCACTTGTCCGACACTGGATGGTCGGACTCAAAACGAAATAAATTATACTGCCAGATCCAGTTAACATCTCTACCCATGATGATATTGAATATTGTGCTGATTAGAGAGACACTTTACAAAGACATTGCATGGTGAGGTCCACACGTTGACTGAAATGGCTCCACACTACATTCCTGTGTGAGTTATTGCAGGGGACAAGCGGAAAAGAAATGTAAAATTAACTCTAGCCTGAGACATTCTGGAGAAGACAGACTTCACAACACTTGTTCAGCCCTCTCCAGGGCGAATCTTGGGGGAATGCCTGGTCCTTCAATAGATAACAACCCTATACTCTTCGATGTGAGGGACACACAGGTCTCTCTTTCTATGTATATATATATATATAAATATATATGTCCGTACTCGATGAAGAGCAGCATATTAATGACAGCAGAGAAAGCCGGAGATCATGTCACATTTCAATTTGAAGAAAACTACAATACACCACAAGCAATAATCACACTATTTCACTAGTGTTACAAGCTACTGACATAATTTTTTATTACACAAGCAAAACTCGAAATTCAAGACCTCGTCTCCACAAAGTTGAACAACTGGGTGTTACCCCTCCAGGAAACGAGTCGCTATATAAATTCAGTGGATCTGTTTAATTATCAAAGTTGCTAATATCAGTTTGCACTTTGTGGGCTTTCTCAACAGACTAGTGTCTCATACTTTGGAAATCACTCCTTCATGAAGCACAGTGAACGATTTAATGGACTAATGACAAAAGGGGAAGGCAGTGGAACAATATGATGAAAGAGGGGATGAGATAGAAGGGCAAGGGGATAGACAGAACAGACAAATTAAGAGTGTGACTGATGGCATGCACAAAATGAAAACTAGGGGGTGTGCCAAACAAGTTACTGCCAAAGTGCACTGTTATACAGAAGAAGAGTTAGCAAAATACCTCACCCCAAATGACTAGAAAAATTAACACCAAAACCTTGAAATACATTTTTTCCCTTACAATAAATCTTGATCATTGTACCTATTCCATTTCTTATCTCCTGCAAAACAGGCAGATTGTACTTTAGTTTTATATATACTTATCAGATCAGAACCTTTAAATTCAATGCACTAGCCAAGTTCCCAGCAAACAGCATAGCACTAAGGCTTTCCCCTACCCTAAAGCTGTCACACTTGAGGATTGTAAAAAAAAAAAAGAAGAAGAAAAATTCATCTGAAACCTTTAGAAGTCGGTAAGTGGAGTAGGAATCCAAACAAGACCAGTAAAACCCAAAGTCTGTATGTTAGGGATCTTTGGGGCCTCTCCAACCAGTGTGACTATTCATCAAGTAGCCGTGAATCATCTACTCACAAGTCATCGAGACCTCTTGAATAACTAAGCTAAATTTTGCACAATAAACTTGAAGAAATTAGCATTTTAGAAAATCATTCAAAGAAACTTCATATTGTCGCCATTCCAAGAAAAATGAGTAACATTTTTTTGTTTACCCTGCAGGCTGGGTCAAACGGAGTGAGGCATTTTTCTTGCGACAGCGACACTATATAACATCTACACACCCATTTCACACTAGGGATAAATGGTTCAACACCAAAGAATAAATGGTTACACAAATTTAAAAACTTTGTACAGTTTATACATTAAAATGTTTGAAGACGAGGTACAGTCCATGGTAGTCAGAAAATCCTAAAAGTCAATTCACAGAAGATGACGGAGATGGAGGAACAATAGCAATTATGAATCAATGAAATGTACAATCTATTTACATTTGGTGGCATCAAAACATCTAACAAACTGCAGGAAAGTAAATCATAACAACAAAGTTGAAAACGAAAGAGTTACTGCTTAGATGAAGTCTGAAAACTTGGGCAGAGAACATTAGCGATGAGACATACCAAAACAGCATTACATGCACCAACAGCAAAAAAACTGAGGAGAACAAATTTGTCACTTGAACAAATGAAGAAAAAAACACTTTTTGAGCTCACTCTAGTCAAACTACAATAAGAAAGTAAAAAGAAGTGCATAGAGAATATGTCTACATATTGATCCACACTAGCAAACACACACAATTCAAATTGCATACATGTAAGTCCTCCTTGATTTTTCTCTCTCTGTTGTCATGTTCACTTTGTCTCTGCCCACCACTGGCTAAGTATATGTGGAATCACCATAATTCTGATTCCAACACATTAGTAGTCAAAACACAAGAAAAGACTTTTCCCGTCAGGTGTGACCACACCTTCCATTCTTCCCACATCCAGACAATGACGGAGCTGAAGCACACATTAGCAGCAGCAAAATGATTAACACTTCATTACTACGGGGGTGAAACAATGACAGATGAGGCTGTCACACAGACTTGCCATAGATCCAACAGAAACACGCACACACTCACAAATCCTTTATCAGCAAAATGAAACTAGGGCACACAAAGCGGCACCACACAATGACACGAAAGGAACATGGAACAGGCCAGAAGAATCCCAACTTCTTCTACGATGCTCTGAAAGACAAGTTGGCGCTGTGGTTATGGCTGGAGACAACACTGTCCAAAACAGGCGTTCGGAGAAAGGACAAGACTGCTTTTCACCACAATACACTTTTCAGTTGTACTGAAACGAGCATGCCTCTTTAAAGATGATGGGGGGGATTCGCCCAAGTTAATTCGCCAATACCTGAGTGCAGAAAGGAGGTTTTTCTTCTAATTTCTGATGGAATAGTAAAGCGGAGGAAATTACTCTTCCTTTGTCTCACGACTCCATAAACTGTGGTCAAATTAACTGTTCTCTTTTCCATTCTCAACAATAATACTGTCACACCTATTTAGCAAACACAAAGGAACAAATCTTCACTTGCGAAGAAGACAAATCATAATAATCCAGTAATGAAGCTCAAGCACTGATAATATATCGAAATAGTTCACACGCATAACAGGCGAAGGAGCTTCTGTGTAGACTGCTGCCTATTTACATACCATCAACAGCAGACAACATAAATCAAAACCGTTATAAAGGGGAAGCCGATTTCATCATGCCACATGGCTTGTGCATTTGTCAAATACGTCCACAAGTGCTGGGAACTACAGAAAACTTCAGAATCCAGTTTGTAAGGTTACGTCAACACAACCACATCTTAAGAGCTAAGCTAAAAAGTTCAGTCTTACACAATCATTTTATCATTGTGGGAGCGTTATGCAGTCGCAGGAATCAACTTTACCACCAAACACCAGACAGTGCTGTAACAGAGGAAATGACAGCAATTGGATGGCCGCCGGGTCAGTGTGAACGTCTGGGGGCAGTCACAGCTTAAAACATCACAGTAGCTAATGTTAAGTCAGATATTCTGAGAGAGGTTTCTCCTCCCATTGCAACAGCATACAAAGAGGATACCACAGGGAAAGTACACTTGATATTGTGACTATAATTTTTTCCCATTCCCATCCATCAGGACAGCATGACCGAGGGACCAATTACAGACAACATGCATGCCCTTCCAGTAAACCAATTAGATTTAATTTGGGCGCTGGTCAGTCAGAAAGCAAGTGAGCAGTTTGCAGGGTAGGAGAAAAAAAACTTAAGGGGAGACACTACTGAGACAACCGAACTTTTTTTTGTGTTGTGTGTATATATATATACAGCTAAAAATGGCAGTTTTGCATAATTTCCAAGTGACAAAAGGGTAGTAATGAGTATGACAATGAAAAATTATATTTTTATTCAAACTGATTATCATGTGTACCAAATTACTCATTCACCTTTTCCACAACATCTCTGAAAATTGCTGTAAGTATTACTAACAATATATATTAACTACCCACACAAGGATTCTTATTTGTTGTAATTAGTAAACGTTTTTAACAGGTACAAGAAAAAAATCTTGCTCCATTTTTAGAAACATGTTTGTTAAACCTCTCACAAGCATAATTTTTGTTCTACAGAAAAATCCCCCTGAAATTAAGAACGAATTCAGTGGTTAGTGCGGTGCGTTCAGGAAAAAATTGAACAGGAAAATCAATATTTTACCCACTTGACTCAAGAGTGAATAGAAACTGTGTCTCCCCTTAAGAGAAACTGTGACATTCAATAGACAAGAGCCTTCTTTGTCCTGTAGTCAATCCACAGCTACAAAAAAAGATACACCAGGGCACCATCAAAAACATTGCAGGAAAATATACACAGGTTGGAGTTTGCAACAGTACATCTCCCTCCATGGTTTCAATCAGTTACGAATACGAGCCTGAACTCATGAAAACGTCTTTATCTCCTCAGACATGACATACTCAAGCTGAGCTTATTTCCCTTTCATTGAAATGGGACAAGAGAAAAAACAAAGTCATTGTCACTTCAGTGCCTAACGTGAATAATCTGAAACTAGGACAACGGATCTACTTCTACCCAAAAAAAAATTTCAAATCTGGACTTAATTAATCTCGAGAAAGTCTTGCATTCTAATTCTTAAGGAAGAAAATGAAAAATCTATTTTAAAAACAAAGCGTTCAACCAGCAAAAAACGTGATCACTTAATATATCTTTTTATAATGCTGACATTTTCACGACCAAAAAAAACCCCCAACAAAACAAATAAAACCTTGTAATTCATTAAAGTTATCAAGTATATCAGGCCAACATGTACACATCAACTGTTCAAGATTTGATAACCAAAAGAAGTCAGTTATGTGAGATAAGCCACAATGCAAGAAAGTTACAATGACACAATCTTCCCAAAGGGGGGAAAAAACCCTAGCAACGGTTCACAGGTCTTTTCATTGGTGTAACGACAGCACTCCGGCCTAAGACCTCTATCAGAAACCGTCATAAGCGATGGAAACGAGAGACATCATTTTGTACACAAAACCCCACAACAGTTACTGGTTGGGGCTTACATTGTCAGCAGAAAAGCACATTTCATATTCATACACACTTCCTTGAATGGTTGCCACACTCTTTTTGTCATTTTTTTTTTCTTGCAATAATCTATTTAGGGATATGTTATTTACATACACATATTATTTATCAGGGTTTTTTTTTACTTATACATAGAATGCAATGATAATTTTTCTTATTTATATGTATCATGATTACATAAATATTTTACTCAAACAAACAAAACAAAATCGAAGGAAAAAAAAAGAAAAGGAAAAACAAAGGAAAAGTTGCTTCAAGCTTGAAACTTCCTAAAGCAGGTACACAACCCTACAGTGAAAACGAGGCTTTTTTTGGTTTTAAAATGCTCTCAGCATATTTGCAATCAAGATACCCTTTCCACCTTCCTCTCGTTACAAAGACATGGGAGCAAATGATGAAACTCCGTAAGTCACATAGCACTCGCTGATCTCATTACTTAGAAACAGGTTTCCTTCATTATTTCCCAATAGGAGCAATATTTAGAAAATGAACAAAAATTCACAAATATAATCCCTTAAATCATACATTATTCTTTTTTTTTAAAAAGAAAGAAAAAGAAAATCGAAGTCCTATCCTACCCAAGAATTTTGAGGTAGCACCTGGGTTGTTTCCCTTTACAATGCTTAGTCACAAACTTGCTCGCGTTTACAAAATCTAAACAAAAGACAAACACTCAAGAGAAAGGTAGCAACTGCTCAGTAGGTGACGTCATAACAATTGCACACTTTTACCTAATAACCTTTCCCGAGCACAACGCTGGCTGGAACAGACTGTACCAGATACACTGGAACTAGAGTATGAGCCTTCACAGGCCATGCCTGGACCACATATCTGCACAACAGTTTTTCAAATGTGTATCTACCACAATGTTCACCACTGTGACATGAAAAAACAAAATATCATGACTACCGCCACTGTCTCTGCTCCCTTTAATCCACCGAGCCCTGGCTAGTACAGAATCGCAGTGGTCACTTCTTACTGGCCATTCTCACATTCTCCAAAAATGTTCAGGAATGTAAATAAAAAGGTACCGGCCTTAATTTTAGGCTTGGATGATGATACCTTGTCTCCTCTATAATTTTTACTAGCTACTGCAAAAATTTTGTTCCCTGATTTTTTAAAGGTCAAAAAACATTTCTCCTCACCTAATGGACTGAAAATGATAGCGTACCAAAAAAAAATTATGACTAAATCTAGATATCTATATTTTACTTAACTTTTATGATACTGTCATGTAAAGTCATCAGACATCCTTATAACTAGTATTGTTTATTTTTTAAGAATCTTCATTTCCAGTTAAGATACTAATTCACCTAAAGCTTCGTACAAAAATAATATCGCATTATAAGGTCGTCGTCTTGGGGCGGGATGCAAAAATCCCCTTCCCAACTATGTTTGGTACCAGGGCTCAGTGAGTTATGTCACACTTAAAACATTTTTAAATATAGAAGACGACAGATTGGATGACCATGTGGTAGTGTGAGCAGTCTGGCAGTTGATGAGTACTTTATGAGTAACACCAGTAGTTAGGACCTTTTCATTAAAACATTCATTTTCATTAACAAAAATAAAGGCAATGTAAAGCATTTTGTCACATGAAACAACTACTGAACAGCAAATTAAACAACCTTCACCGTAAACATGTGCAAGTTAGCTGAACGGGACATTAAAATTTACAAGAGCAAAAACAATCAACAATAGGGGGCAATTTTCATCGGTTGCAAATAATTACAGTAAGCATATCATAGGTACACAGCATCATCACAATGTCAGTGGAAGGTACGATCAGTTGTAGTAGTTTCAAACTATCAAGAAGGCACACCCTGCCTGCGAAAAAATTATAAATAAAACTATCTCGTCTATCCATCATATTCATTGAAAAGAAAAATTGAAAACAAAATGTCAATATTCTATGTGAACTGAGAGAAAAATCATTTTTTCGAAAAGGAGGAAAAAATACTTTTTAAAAGCGAAATGACAGCGGTGTCTGACGGACAACAAACTCTGGACAGGATAAAGCAGTCCAGAGAATCCCCACAAGAACACAAGTCATGGCATCAACACATTCTGAAAGGCTGTCAAACCCACCCCGAGGACAACACCACCAGTGTGCTATTAGAACATGATCCAACTGCACTCACTCACAATCAAACTAACAAACACAAAAACCCTCCGAAAACCCTGGTTGACAAGTGATGACAACATGTTGGAGGTCCCCTTTACAATGAACACCGACCAATTCCTCACCAACACTTGCATAATACTTCGTTATTACAACTTTGAATTATCTTGTGCACCAATTTTTAAAAAATATACACAAAACATACAAGAAAACATTAAGAATAAAATAAAAAATAGTATCAATCTAACAGATCAGATTAAAGGTCGAAGACAATTTCATGTGATAAAGGAATACCTGAATTCTGTAACGTTTCAATCTTTTCCCCATCTATAAAGATTTTAAAAGCGCTAAATGCAAGGACATTTCAGCCTCATATTCACTCAAAACAGATATATATATAACTTATCTCTGGCAAGTAAAGATGAAAAGAATTGTTGAATAATTAGCTTCCGTAAAGTTCGGGCTATAAGCCATGACTTTTTTCCTCAGCTTTAAAATCTGCGGCTTAATCAACTATGTGACTCATTTGCCGATTTTCCAGATTGCAGGAGTGTCACTCCCTCTCCTCTATTAGCATACACCTAAAACATTAAAAAGCTGACACATTTTCCACAACTGTACATTTTAGTGTATGCGTAACAAACACAGTTCAATAGATGGGAGAGTACTTTTGGTGGCTCCTGTGGCGACCTCTACACAGCCACGGGGTAAAATCTACAAGCTTCCGCTGAAAAGTGGAACAGGAGAGTGCTGCCGTCCTAAAATGAAAAATTTGTAGTCTAAGATATGGAAAGTCGTTTTGGGGCATCTTAGTGATCCTGTAATGTACATATCTGTTTTGTATAATCTGCTGCAGTGTAGCTTATTCGGGAGAAACAACAATTCAGATTTTTTTTAAAACCTGGTTTGGCTTATATACAGGTATGCTCAATAGCCCGAACTTTACTGTATATCAAAATTTATTTTATTTGACTCGTCCAAATCCTCTCACAGAAGGTTCAGTGGGAGTAAATATCTTTCGGCTCACTATTACTCTTTACCTGTCTTCAGACTCACCTTGTAATTAAAATTAAATGCTTGCTTTGTCACAGAAAACTAAAATCGAAATTACACCAAAAAAATTATTAAAAAAAAACAACCCAGGAAGTCTTTTCAACAAGATTGTGTAAAATTCAACAACCCTGTTAAGATCATCACTAAAGCATCCCCTCCAATAAGGTAGCGCACACCAGCACGAAATAAGAGATGGCTAAACATATTTTGATGAGGCACGGCCAAAAGGAAATGTGTGTTGACTAGCTGTTGTTGTTGTTGCTACTGCTGCCCTTGCTTGTGGTGCTTGCTGCTGCCGCCGCTGCGGCTGCTGGTTTTGCCGTGGACTGTTGGCTGCTCCCCTGGGCTGCACTGGCCTGAGGTGGTTCTGGCTCCTCCTGTGGCAGAGAGACAGGGATAGATCTCGTGTTTGGTTTTTAGGAAGGGTTTAGTTTAGTTTCAATAAGGGTTTTGTTTTAGTAAGAGTTTTACGGCACTTTCAACACAATAAGGTCATATAAGAGCCGAAGATTAGGTGTTACAAGAGAGTAACACACAAAAAAGGAAAAGTAGAAGAGATCAGGAAGACAGATGTTAGATAGGAAAGAAGGAGCAAACCACACCAGAGCACCTGCCAACCACCTGCAACACAATAAAATCATAGAAGTGTCGGAGATTTAAGTGTTACAGGGGCTCTCGTGACCTTGAGGTTAAGGTGTTCACCTCTCATTCAAAGGTCCCGGGTTCGAATCCGGGTAGCGACCGAAAAATCTTCTCTTAAATTATGTCCTTTCACTTCATTTCCTGCTCTCTAACCATGTTCTGTCGTCTGCTTTTGTCTCCACTTTCTGCCCCAACCCCCTCACCTCCTTTGCCCCCTCCTCTGGGCTCCTGACTCTTTCTGCAGCCTTTCTACTGCTTCTCCTTGCCTCCTTTTTACTGCTGTCTTTCAGTAACACCCCTGATCTTATGGTAAGAAAAATCTACACTTCACTCGAACAAGGGCGATAAATCTCGGAGGTTCCGCGTGCAAGTTGCGCACGTTAAAGATCCCTTGATGGTCCAAAATCGATAAGAGTAGGCTTCGGCCGCCATCTGGGCAAAATTGAAAATTTTCCTACCGACTGAAAATGTGTGGTGCGTCCCGCGTGCTCATATGACCTTATGCAGTTGCGTTGCGAGCCCCGTAAAACACTTAACAAATCCCCCACCAAAAAAAAAAGAGGTGTTACAAGAGTAACAAACACAAAAAAAGGAGAAGAACTAAGGACAATAGACATTTGATAGGTAAATAGGAGTATACCACACCACAGCACCTACAAACCACCCACTAGTAAGAATTTTACATCACTGGCAACATAAATAGGTCATATAAGTGCCGAAGGTTAGAGGTGATACTACTAGAAAGTAACATACAAAGTAAAGAAGGAGGAGATAAGATAAGATAAGATACATCTTTATTGTCCAGATCCTGGCATGTTGGTTTGGTGTTTCACCACGTGTACACACACACGTGCGCACACGCCATGTAAGCTTACAATCACATGCATAATATAAATGAGCAGCAATATAAACAATAATAATCGTAAGCTAGATACACACCCAATGTTATTTTGATACATGCTCTAAGGTCGTAAGTATACTTATACAAGATGGTTAAGATGGAAGCATTTTGATAGATGATGGTAAAAATGACCTTCTGTATCTTTTTTTGTTATCAGAAGCCTAGGTCTTTCACTTCTGACTGATGTGTTTATTTGAGGGAACAAGGGATGTTTGTTGTCTAAAAAGATGGAATTAATTTTTTTAGTGCAAGCTGTTATATACAATTCATCCAAGTAGGGGAATGTAAATGTTGAAATTTTACATGCTTTCCGTATTACTCGATTTTAAGTTTGTTGCAGTTTTTAGACTTTCAAAAGTTTAAAAAAGTTTTAGCAAGTTTTATGACACTTGTAACACAAATAAGTCAAGTTTGGAATATTAGGTGTTACTACTACAGAGTAAGTTACAGACAAAGAAATGAGGATACATGTTTTAAGAGTAACAAACAAGCAAGCAATTGGAAGTTTTGTCTCTCCGATTAAAGAGAAGCACATCAACACAACAATGGCCATTTAGTGTAGGGTGAAAGCAAGGCAGACAGACAGGAACAGCAGAGGGAAAGAATGGAAGAAGAATCTTGCAATGACACTCTCCAACAACTCACAGTATTTTGAGTTTTAGGTAGACAGAGATGAAATAAGTGTTCTCAGTAACAGGCAGACAGAGAAATGAAACAAGATTTCTGAGTAAACAAACAGACGTGCAAATAAGAGTTGTGTCCAGTGCTTTTAGTTACAGACGTACAGATAAAATTTATGAATGAAGTATTTTGGGTTACAGACAGAAAAGAGAAAGGAGTCAAGCGTTAAGTGAATAAACATTTCCAGCTGAACATTTGCACCTACCAGTCAGTGAATAAACTCTTCATTTCAATATCTTTTTTTAAAAAAGGAAGAAGAAGAAAAACTCCAACAGCACTCACCATTATCCTGAAATCCTCTAGCCTCTTATACTGAGACAGTTTAGCCTGCAGCTCTGGATTCACATCCACCTTACGCCGCGAATACTTGAGGAATGCCCAAAACTTTTCAAGCCCGTATAGTTGTCCTGTTGACACAAGAAAATAATTGTTGGCTCATGAAAACTCAGGACAAATGTGTGCGAGAGAGAAAGAGAGTAAATATCCGAACTTAAGAACATACGAAGACAAGTAGGGACCTTTGCAACTAAATTCCAGTGGGTCTACACTGTTGCAATTTTTTATGGATAGGAGTTGACATGAGGTGGCACGTTTGGAACTTTTAGAATGTACAGATTTCTGTTTTTAAAAATACTGAAGTTTGAAAGCACTGCACATAAATATAATCAGGGTAATTCATGGGTCTCAACTCAGAATTCTAAAAAAGGAGGAACTTTCCGGGTGATCCCCACAGAGGCACATTGTCGCAAAATACCCATTTGATTATTATTATACTGTTGAACCCTAAAATGCTGAAATAAATACCATCAATTTATCGAAGCAAGGTTATTTCACACCAATTTGATGAAAGATAATTTCAAGTAAGAGTCACATACCAAATATTTACAATCTTGATTACGTACAAAAAGAGGTGGCGCCTGGGGTCTTGTGCTACTTATTTATATTTTCCCTTCATCATATTCGCCTGTATATATAAACTATATAAAAATGAATCTTGTTTTGAGCCTAGAACCAGAATATCAACTGTCATGATTCATATCATATATATATCTATCTATATCTATCTATCTATCTATCTATCCATCTATCTATCTATCTATCTATCTATCTATCTATCTATCTATCTATCTATCTATCTATCTATCTATCTATCTATCTATCTATCTATCTATCTATATATCTCTATATATATATATATAATATATATATATATATCTATATATATCTATCTATATATATCTATCTATATATATATAATATATATCTATCTATATATACAGTAGTCTCCGCCTAAGATCCCGGTGCTCGGGAGCAAGGAAATGCGGGATCTTAGGCGAACCGGGATCTTAACCGACGAACCCAGGGAAGAATCTACGTTGACCCATGCTAAGGCTCACAATAGGTACAATGGTCTCCCTCCACTCTACAATGAACTGACGTGCCCGCTTGGTGGGTTTATGACGTATGACGAGCAAAGAGTGGTTAACCTTGATGGCCTATCACAGTGCATAGTGGGATGAGGCGTGCCATTTTCACTTATTATCCTATCATGAGTCTCAAGATCTACGCTTATCCAGTTGCCCCTCCCCATTACCTTTCGAAAATTTATAGCGTTCCATCTCTGACCGAGTTCACCCCCCCCCCCCCCCCCCCAAACCGCCTTTGTCGTTACGCACCATTACGTTGTGAACCCACCAATTAATGTTCAGTCTGTCTCGCAAATTGGGGGGTACAGACAACTACAGCAATGGTCGGGGAAGAGTCCACAGTTCCTTGTGATCCCTCCTGGAGCGAACTTGTAGGCCCTTCCCACCCAGCGAGTGATGTAAGGTTAGGGGGAGAGCTCAGGTGTGAGTGCGATGTGTGGGGAAAACAAACGCGTCGGTCAGTTCACACCCCGGTGTGATCCCGTCTGGGGCAAACATTGTACCGCTTCATCGAGTTTTACGTGTATGTGATCACATTCACGAAAGTGGCTGATCTTTGACGCGACGGACATTTTATTGATCTCAACTTTTCACTCTTGGTTGATCGGCTGTGCCCGCCCGGGTTTTTGTTCCACAAATTATGATTTGAAATGCGGGATCTTAGCCGAATGTACACCTTCGGAGTGAATTAGAGCGGGATCTTAGGGGTGACTTTTGTATAGTAAAAATTCTGTTTTCTTAAAACAGTGGGATCTTAAGCGAACCGGGATCTTAGGCGGAGACTACTGTATATATATAATTAATAAACGTGAAAGACAAAAATTAGAGTAGAATAGCCCAAGTAGACCTATTCAGTGTGAGAGGTGTAAGAACTGCGGGAGGGCTAGATGCAGTGATACTGAAAATCTGCGAATCTTGAACAGAAAGCTAAAATATAGAGATCTAATTTACTGTCCAATGAACGCAAACACTTAGGCCCATAAGTTCAATAACTCGCTTACTTACGAGTTATGACGTTTACCGATTTCACACAAGGCCTGCACCAACGTACACTTTACTTTGCAGAGAGCTGTAGATCTAGTAGTAATCAAAATTCTAAACATCAAACATTTGCTTCCAGTTTCAGTTTTTTTGTCCTCTGGTGTTGCATCCAGCCCTCCCCCTATCCGCGAGTGCGTGTTTTTAAAAAAATCAATAATCTCCTCCCATTCCTGAGTCCTGTACTTCAGAGCGCTCAGAACGTGCACAAGTTCATTGACCGGTCACAATGGCGAGCCCGACAAGACGCTTGTATAACTTTCTTTTTCTTTTTTTTTTTGGTGGCCCCCACAAGTGACAGCACAGTGACAAATATTGATTATTTTCATGACAACACCATGTTTGTAATGCCGAACCTGCATGTTACAATAAATGTTACGTTATCAGATTATTACTGACAAATTTCTGGGTGGTAACGAAAGCGAAAGTAGATCTTGATTTTCCAGTTGAGCCTTGGTGACACAATTCCGCTTGCCACCAAAGCCGCTAGTTCACATGAAACATACTCTCAGAGGAGAATTAATATCACAATCACGACCGGCAGAAATGGACTTAAAGACGTTATTGGATCTCGTTTTCATATATTCTAGATCTTTTATGTATTTTCCCGGGTCTCGGCGATTTTTTAAAAATTCCCAGGGCCTGGCAGTCACCCTGCTCCCAACAACTTTCTGACTGGCCCGCTGTTGCGGTAGCGGAGTTTATCGGAAAAAATGGCAATAGCAGAAATCCGCTAAATAGCGGACTATTGAGACCCATGGTAATTGAGACCTGCAAAACAGATACAAAGAAGACCATTCACAGAAAATAACAGAGAATTATAACAAATGATTTGATTCTTACCAGTCATACAATCTCTCATGGTGTCCTCTTGGAAATCTTGAAAGACTTCCGGCCTGAATCTTTTCTCCAGACCATAGCTGAAGTATCGGAACAAGCACTCTAAACCATACCTGGAATGAAATCACACAAGAGTATTTTAAAAAAAGGTAAAACATCAGGTAATCATTTTTATTTTGTTTATGTTCTGCAACCTTAGCAACACAGACAAGATCATTAAACAGCCAGGGCAGCGAAGGACACTGTATTCTTGCAAGGATATCCAACATGAGAACAGAATGTAATCTTTAGAGAATACGGCACGCTCGTTACACTACAGATGCCAGTTAACAGGATAAAGACAAACAAAAAGCGAGAAAAACATTGTTTACGGCTTAAGAGCACGGACAGGTCCAAACTTAGGCAGGATCACTTCAAGACAATGGCAACACTGAAAAGAAACAAGTGAAACACACCACACTAGAGCACCCACCAACCATCTACACACCCAAATCATAGTATATAACCAACAATGGTCTGATATCAAATGATAACAGAACAGACTCTTTGACTCCTGAGGATGCATCTAATTGGCGTCTGGGGTGTAGCGGTTTGACACTTGGTTGCCCCACATAAGAGACCAAAATTCGATTCCCAGATTGAGGAGAAATGTTTATCGAGTACCTCTGCCTTTTTTCTGGGATGTTACATCCCTCTCAGCCCAGGGTTGGCCCTTTTGTGTTGTTGGGAGTGTAAAATTACCCACTTTTATTTAAATTTTCAGTATCCATCCTTCAAAAGCTAGTCAACGCTGTCATACCTGTGACCCTTGGAGGAATCTTCCACAGCCAATTGTCGAAACTCGTTATACATTTTGCGGTTAAAATGCTGACGCAAGAAGAAGGACCAAAATCGGTATAAGCAGTTCATCTCTTGGGACAGGCCTATGCCGAGACGTTTACGTTCTGTGGAAAATAAAAATACACCCACATCAGGCCAACACCATCACACCTTCACAAATAAATATATAAGTGAAGGGGACACACATTCACAACACAACGCTCATCTATAACAAGAAAAAAAGCAAGAAAAGGAGATAGAGATAGAAGAAACTCGGTAATCAGGCAGGCCTGACCAATGGCACCCAAACATAAGCTCAACAAATACCCACAAACAATCTTCTAGGCACAAGAAACAAATTCACGCTATAGCAGTCATTTAAAGCAGGAAAAAAAGCAAGACAGACAGAAACAACAGAAGGAAAGACAAGGAAAAGGAAAAGGGCCCATCATGGCCGCTCCAACCACCCACCAATACGATTATAAGAGAAAAAGACTTTTTAAAAAAATAATAAACGTACATAGAAAGTCCTTAGTTTCTTATAGATTCATTTATGTAAAAAAAAAAAAAAAAAGAAAGAAAGAAAGAAGAAAAGGAAAGAAAGAAAAATAAAGAAGGAAAAAAAAGAAAAAACCCATCGTATTAGGAATTAACTTAGAACTGTAGAGAAGGGTCACGCTACTTGCAGCCAAGAAAAAGTGTCTCATATTTCAGTGTATGTCGAGAATCAAAAAATCTTTGCGAACCTCCTTATCCAACCCAGCAAGTTATTCATTCTAGCAGTAGCAGTGCTCGAAAAATAAAAATGTGCTGCTTTCACACAAACCAACATTTACCTTTAAGGCACTTGGAATGAAATTTATTGTACACATGCCACACAAAACCGTTGTCTTTGAGCAGTTCGTGTGACGGATGCTCGAAATTGGGCATAGAAACTGGAGTGCACCCGTAGCTGGAAGCCAGCTGACTGTCCGAGGGGCTGCAAAAAAAGATTTTAAAACAGAAAGACATGCTTAATACTGACTCACTGATGATGAACAATACATCCCCTTCCCCTCCCCACACAACAAACCCCCCGTCCTGCTGGGGTGTAAATGATAAAGGAACATAAAAGAGTTATGGGGACGCACCTCGACATGATTACATTTACTGCTAGTGAAATTAAGACAGGAAGACAAAACCCAATCAGGGTTAAGCAAAGAAATAGGATCTTCTGGTGACACTGTTCAACCAAGAGCAAACCACAAAATTGATATCCACGAAATTAATTCACTAATTAAAGACAGTGATCTCCAGCTAATAGCATGCCAGAAAAAAAAAAACATAATCTGCCTTAAAGCGCTCTGACAGTGCTTAATGAAATTTTATCAAAAATAATTAACACTCCCAAGTTCAAATTCCAGATTGGCAACTCCATCTAATAACATGATCGTTCCTTCACCAGTGTCAGAAACAGATCAGCCATTAAATTACTCATTTCACTTGGAATTGAAGGAAGTGAAGCAATCAACACATCCCCAAACTAGTTAATTCTAATTTCTGTTTTTCCAAAGAGAAAAAGACATACAGGGACAAAATCAAAGACAACTGCGTAATGACGATAGCCCGTGACCGATCATGTGTGGCATGCCGAGAGAGTGACAGGGCTGTACTGTAATTAAGATGGTCATTGTCTTATATTGTAAGGTGTAGAAAAACTTTACACTTTGGGACAGGCTCATCTCAATGACCCATCCTGCTCAATGCAAAAGATCAGAATATTTATATTTTCTAACTAGATCTATGTGTGTTTACACCCTCATCAACATAATTCAGACTTAAGAGACAGGCTTCCAACCCTGCCAATCAGGGCAAATCCTTGCTGAGAGAAATTAATCCTAGCAGAAAAGATAGACTCTCGAAAAGATTCTCCCCACTCGGAAATCGAACTTGGTTTCCTTCATGCTACGGCAAAGTGCCAAACTGCAACACCACATAGGCTGATTTACTTACTTACATTACTCCCCTCAAAATTGGCATAGTAGCAGGTTTTCATAACAGCGCACTTTTCTTGTCACCCAAAATGTGTGCTATTATCTGGGGACCACTGCATAATATAAATTAACATCTGTTGCCCAGCCAGTGTATCTGATAAAGTGTGTGGACATGGACACTGCATGTAACAAAATGGACCCCTGTGCTCCTGTTCAGAAGACAAGGGCATTATCTTTTACATTTTCCCCAAATAAAAAAGATCCCGACCCAAAAGTCAGAGGTCCCAACTGACAACGAGAGAAAAAAAATCCTGAACATTTCAGACTCAACAGAAACCGAGCACGGATAACAAAATTCAACAAATCATTTGTCTTCTATATCTTGTGTCAAGATTTTGTCCATGTTGAGTGCAATAACTTTGCCATGATTGGCCCGTGGTTGGGCAAAACCTCAACACTTTCAGTTAGAGGGATGCCAATCCGGTTGGGCTGGCGCAGTGCGTTTTGAGTGGATTAAAAACCTGAACTGACTTTGGACAAACGAAAGCAGACGAGGCAGTTTTTGTGACTCGTTTTTTTTTTAAACGGAAAATTCCCATGAATGAAAAGATTTTGCATCCCTGCAGTTAAAAGCAAATTCAGCACCTCTACTGGATTACTGCAAACTACCATGACAGAAGTTTATTTAACAGATTATGACAAAACAGCCTTCACAAAGTCCACTGACCTAACGGAGCGTAAGGAGGCGGACGTTGAATTATGACGAGATCGAGCCTTGTGCTCCTTCCTGTCCATGACCCAGCCCACATGGGACTCCAAAGGTGGGTTGCTGCTGTGGCGGGTCTTCTTCTTGCGTGGCGTCTGGAAAAAACACACAGGGATACCAATTGACAGTAAGTATGTGTGTGTGTGTGTGTGTGTATGTGTGGGCATGCGTGCGTGAGGGAGCGTGCGTATGTGTCAAGTCAGTATAATGACAAGCATAATCCCCTGGAGCATATAGGGACAACAGTGACATGAGAAGATAAAACAAAATACAGAAGAGCATGGATCATTTCCAACATGTCAGGGGTTGACAAATGTGTTCAACACCTTTGTAATTCCGTATAAACTGACACTAAAAATTAGATATATTAAGGAAAAACCAAAGAATAACAGGAAGTATTATGGTCAGAAAATAAATCACCATCATAAAAAATATTAAGTATCCATAAAAGGATACAACAACTGTACGAAAAAGTTCTGGATCAACAGTTTTTTGTTTTAGTAAGAGTTTAACGGGATTTGCAACACACTATGGTCATGTAAATGCCAGGGGTCAAAACAAAGTAACAAACACAAAAAAGAAGGGAAGATGAGGGCGATAGACATTTGAAAGGAAAGAAAGAGACAACCACCCACAAACTTAAGAGTTCTTGACCACCAAACACAAAGTTCTGACAACATATCACTCCTACATAGATACTGCGCAGAACTAGGAGTAACTAAACCTTCTCAGCAGTGCACAAACCTGGGGGTCAATCGGGGCACCGGGGTCTTTGATGACGGGATAGAAGCGTGGCTCTTTCCTGTCGTGTCTTGGTGTGCGAGGTCCCTGCTCCCTGCGGCCCGGCGTATCGGGGACCCAGGCTGGGAGGGAGCGGGCAACGTCCCCGTGCCCAGATTGGGAGGAGGGCGGCGTGGGCACCTTCTTGCTCTCTGTAGTCGAACTTCCTGCTGGTTCAAAGGGGGGAGAGAGAGAGAGAGAGAGAGAGGAGTTTAATAAGCACAGGGGAAAAATGTATTCAGTGGGAATGCACCATCGTGAAAAAAAATCCCAGGGCCTACCTTTAAATACGTTTTGATATATCACTTTGTTTTTTGTTTGTTTTTGTAAAGTGTTTTACTGCACACACCTAATATTTTCAGTTGGTAGGAAATTTTGAATTTTGCCCGGGTGGCGGCCAAAGCCTACTCTTACCGATTTTAGACCACCAAGGGATCTTTAACGTTCGCAACTTGCACACGGGCCCTCCGAGATTTTTCGCCCTTGTCCGAGAAGGCTTAGTGTAGATCTTTCCTACCAGAAGATCAGGGGTGTGGCAGAAAGACAGCAGTAAGGAGGAGCCAAGGAGTAGCAGTAAAAAGGCTGCGGAAAGAGTCAGGAGCCCAGAGGAGGGGGCAAAGGAGGTGAGGGGGTGGGGGCAGAAAGTGGAAATGAAAGCAGACAACAGAACATTGCTAGAGAGCAGGAAAGGAGGTGAAAGGAGACAATTTTAGAGAAGAACATTTTCCGGTCGCTACCCGGATTCGAACCCGGGACCTTTGAATGAGAAAGCCAACACCTTAACCTCTAGGCCATGAGAGCCCCTATATATCACTTTAGTATTTTACGTCTATTGTTGTCAAACTATCTGAGGCAAGCCACAGTTCACAAGGAACAGGCCAGGACAATGGCAACTTGGAAAAGAAGCAGAAAGGGTCGATCAAACAAGAACATTCACTGACCATCAGCACAGTGTTCCAAAAGTAAAGTTTTCCTACGTCTTGTGATCCAAGACAATGATCATCTTAATTACAGTACAGAACCTGCCCACCAATAGTAGATACTAGTATAAACTGCCACATAACAAATGGTGCAGTACATCTTGGCATCTTCTGGGGCCTAAGACAACCACTTTTCTCCTAAACAATAGGTGGTCATCTTGAACAGGTTAGACTTTTTATATGTGACCTGAAATGTTTTAACCATTATTTTTACTGCCTCTATCAGTCTCAACGACAGGTTTTCTTATTATTTAATTCAATTTTCAAAAACCTTTATAAAGCAGCCTCACTGCCATTGACCAATGGCACTATTTCAATTTCGACTTACTTGCAGCTGGAGGTGGGGGAGGGGGTGGCACCTCTTGCTCCTGTTCCTCTTCCATCTCTTGTTTGGATGGAGTGATCTTCTCAAACTCCTCTTTAGTGATAAGGTTCACCGTCTTGAAATCAAAGTCATTCTGATAGGAGAACACAAATAAAAGGCAAGACGTTGATTGTCCAGTATTCTCTCTCTCTGCTTTAGTGTTTAGTCTTCACAATGTTGTGTCCTCTCATGTTCACATGACATTTGTCACTGGAAACAGAGAGACATGCTACAGCAAAGCTCACTTTAATGAAAATGGAAACTTGTCAGACAAGAACCTCTATACATCACATATTTAATCAAACTTGCAAGCTAAGTCTGTTCTTAGCGCTTACAGAAAAAAACTGAACTTTAAACATGATATGGTGCATTTGTTTAATGATTACATATTACACAACAAAGGAGCCGGACACCATCCATGCTACCTCTGACCTTTTCATAATCGGTCTGTTCAGTATCTAAAGTATCTCTTTAGCCACTGACAGCGAAAGACAATGACAGTTAACACATGCCGTGGCACAGTTGAGACTACGTACCAAGAATTCATCGTCCCAGAGATCCTTCTCATAATAAAAGAGGCCATCGTTGATGACTTTGCTGAGCTCGGCCGTGATTTTGGAGCGTTTGGTGTGGTCACCGGTGCGATCACCTCCTGGGTGCTTGCGGAGGGCCGGTGGCGTTTGCATCACAATAAGAATTTTGTTGATGTCGCTGTCATCAATTTCGTCTCCAGACTCATCAGACCTGTCACAATGGGTTGAGACACTGTGCGTTAGTCACAAGTAAAAGCGAACTACTTGGAAAAATAAAATGGACAACACATTCAGCAAGTACATTATGCCAACTACCCGTCATCTATGGGTAAATTTCAAAATTTTCAGCTTGGATGAAATACTTTTAAACAATTTCTTTGCCACATTATTTTAGACCATCATTCTAAAAACATGCAGAACAGATTTCCTCCAAAAATCATAGACAGAAGAAGTACAAATTGCATTGCATTACACTTTAACGCAATGGTCCGAGACCATTCTGGGGAGGGGGGGGGGCTGGCTAAAATGTCCATGCCCTGAGACCCCAATATTTCGGGGTTTGGGGGTGACCTGTTTAGACCTGGCACCTGCCCAGAAGTAGACAGACAAACAGATTGGCACACTAAGCACCAGTATTGGAATAGGAAGGTAGGAACAATCTTATTACTTTGTGCTTTTGCACGATACTAATAGCATGTCTGCTTTTCTCGAATTTTGCTTGGGAGCCTAGGGTTCATTGGGTTAAGACAAATGCAACAAGGTCAATGGCAATCACAAAGTGGCCGTGGCAAATTGAGAAAAAGAGGTGGCGCCAAAAGAGTTTTGCAAACCTAGACAGGAAACAACCACAGTTTGACTGACCATTCTGTGAAGTTGTTGGCTCTGCCCACATTGAGGTCATCCAATTCCTCATCAAACATGAAGTCCAGCTCCTCACGATCGTCAACTTCTCGGTCTCCTTCCTGTTAGAGCCGAAAAAGAAGAATTTTGTCAAGATGAACCGTGTTGTACGGTTAAAACAGAAATTTAGAGCAATTTGGCACAACAGGTCACATTCCACCCCCTATGACCAGATCAACAGTCGGGTTATGCAGTGTTTGTAGCCACTGCTTTTAACATACACATCTCAAATTTGTTCCCGCTTGCACATCGAGTCAAAGTAACAGAAACATCAGGCATACAAAAACAAGAACATTATTTTCCTTTCACGACATGAAGAAAATTTTACCGTCGCACAATTCTTGAGCAACTCATTGGACAATGACAGAAACCGATACCGATACAGTGGCGCAGTTTTACAGGCATAGACAAAAAGCAGTGTACCGGAGCTTACAATAGTTATTTCATTCTACACCAAAGTAAGACTACATTTTACATTTATACAAACAGCACTGGAGGAAAGCAAGACAGCCCAGTAACTGACAAGAAACAATAATAAACACTGTAGAACTTATCATCAGGAGTCATAGCCACACTAGCTACTTCAGAAAAAGACATCCAAATCCATAAAGACATCAAAGACAAGGTTAGTTATGGCATTATTCATTACTTGAATATTGAAAAAATAAGCACATTCACTAAAACGAATAGCCAGAGAAGAGACATCTAATTAAAATTCATTTAGATTGAGCTGTGCTGCATAAGTAAAGAGAGATGCAGTTCTAGTTCAAGAAACACAACAGGATAACAGCCGCTTCACACTGTGAAAAAGAAAGATACGCAGACAGAAGCTTCATTCTTCGCCTGACACTACGAATTAGTTTTAGTTTTAGTAAGAGTTTTACAGCTCTTTCAACACAAGTAGATAATATAAGTGACAAATAAGATGTATAAATTCTTTTGACCCAAAAATCTCAGGGAAGAGGATACAATCAGACATAAATATCCCTAAGTAACTCCAGAGGGGGTTTTCACACTATGTCAGGGCCCTGTTTCGGTACAAAACCTGAAAGATACCTACAAATCACTAAATTGGTCAATAATAAATGCAAATGAACCTACAGTCGGGCATGGATAACTCAAACACGTCAAGTATTGACAAATATTTCTTCGACATATTCATAGTTCTTATTCACCAATCACCAAAAAATTAGAAAGAAATCAATCAGGAAATGGCAAATTGTGAGGACAAGTTTTGTGTTTTCGTGTTATCTGTGCACGACCGTATTTTCAGAGTTCTTAATCTAAAAAAAACTGGTAAGACAAGAGAACTATTTTTGGCAATTGCCAAAAATTGATATGCTGTTGTAATAAAATTTGTCAGAGTTGCTGACATCTAATTACCGGCACAGAGGTTCGGAAGATAAGGGGTTAATTTAATTACAACGTTTACAAATAGCAAGGAAATGCACGCGAAAATTTATATTCAATATTCTCATAACCAGCGACCTGAGTGACAGAGCTGACAAAAAAGGAAAGATATACCCCCCCCCACCCCCCAAAGATTTCAAAGAAAAATGTAGCTCATCTGTGATGTTTGACTTTGCACACTTTCTGTAGAGGACTGTTGGGAGTAGACAGGGACTTATAATGTATTTCACAATTGCTTTGAAAAGTCTATTACAGCAAATCAAAACAAAATAAGAGTCAAGTTGGCATGCTTCATGCTGACTACACATAGTTATAACCTATTGAACACCTGGTTCCCCCCTCTGAAATTTCACCATATGTAGAAAGTCCTGAAATCATTAATGGAAATGGAAAGTTGTTCAGTTGACATAAAATATCCATAGCAGCACAGAACACACTGACAACATCGAGATCAAGGCAAATAAAAATTATATTGGTACTTATAACAATTTAACAACTCTTAAGCCTAGTGGTAATACATACATTTTCATTTGCGCTCAATGAATAAAGTGAAGAAAACGCAAATTAGAGATCTGAAAACGAACTGCTTACATACCTAGAAAAGTTTGACTTATCAAGTCCAGGGACGACGATGCTCTACAAATGACAAACCTCCATCACATGCGATACAGTTGACAAAGAAACAGTTGCAATTCACTCCAGCACAATGTAGTTCTCACTTTCCTTCATGGTACAGCAGCTTTCCCTCCTCTGATTTCCACTTTGCCCATCACTACCTGTACACAATGGCCACACCCATTTCCTACACCATCACAAATACATCTATTAATCTACCCATAACCTCCTCCTAGTCTACATTTTCAATAATGGTTCCCATGTACCAAACTCATCATTTTGGCAGCCATATCGGCATTTTCCATTAAACCAAACCACTTTGCCCGGAGACAAGTGTCCTCAAAGGTCAAATCTACAGTCGAATTAAAAAGAATATGCAGCTACTGCTCTTAACATTCCTAAAGTATTTCAGCTAGTTCAGATAATTTGAGATAATAGAACAAATATGAGCACATGAACAATGGGAATCTTTTTTCGTTAACTGCATGCTAAAATTGTTCCTTCTTACTTAATCCTTGGACAACTGATTAATCTTGAAACAACCATATTCCAACAACAGACAAATTGCATGGCTTGAGCAGCAAAAATAAATCTCTTCAGACAAATAGAAATCTTCCTGTGAAAAAGCAGTCTTTTAATTTTAACAACGAAAAAAATTAACCGAGGCAATCAATTTTTGTGTTCCCTTTCGGACATTTTTATTGACTTTAATCCATTACAGCTGTCCGAGGCATTGTCCACCTTAGCAGCAAAGCAATAACGTAAGACATCAAAAGGTATTTCAAGATGCACCTCTGCATGATAATGTATGATTTCACCAAGACCAAATATGGAAAATGAGCATTTTTACAAAATGAGCAAATCAAACCACCAAAAGCTGAAAATTTATACAAAAGAATATCAACAGGACAGGGCTTTTCCATCTCGATCTTCTCAACCATGGCTTTGAAGCAAAAACTATCGCCTGACACTTGTCATTATCGGAACTCCACTCCCCGGCTCAGGTAGTCACGCCCACTTCATGAAATTTTAACAAAGAACAGGTCATGCTTTTATTAGTCTCCCAAGGCAAGGCAATCAGTTGAAAAAATCTCCAGAGGACATGGGGTTTGCATCCACAACAACTTCCATCATTTTTGTTTCATTTCTGAAGGGTGGAGAGCATTCATAATACTTAAGGTACAGGGGCTTGTCTTGGAAAAGATGGCATGCCAATACAAAGGAGGTACATCAGACGATGGACGTCTCCAGGAACAGCACTTCCTTCACTTTGGATGAGATGCTAGCTGAGTTCTACAGTGAGCCGCCACATTCGTCACTTCCATGAGGAACAGTTTAGACACATACACTTTAAGAACATACTCAAAGTTCAACCTAAGAAGCAAAAATGTACAAGCATCACTCCCGATAAACTTTATCAATCTAAGGCCCCTAAGGGTTCCCTGTACCCAGCTTTCTAGATTTAAACAAACACAAAGGTTAGCGAAATAACTTGTCATGGCTTCCAGAACTTACTAAATAAATAATCATGTCATAACGCAATTTTAGGCTGAGAAAACAATTAAAGTTGGGTACATATAACACCAACAGAGAAAACTCAAGCAATTTGCCACCCCCAACTATCATCTCATGAATTTTTCGTTGTATCAGTTTACCCCAATTATGAATGAGTCCAACACATTTTTCAAACCCTGACATGTTTGAGTTATCCATGCCCGACTGTATTTAAAAGGCATTATTATACAATTCCTTTAACATTGTCACTTGGGCAGCTCATGAAGAAGGAATTTTTTTATACAGAAGATATCGCTTAAAAATAATCTGCCAGACCACCTGATTCTACTCAGTCCTATTTTCATTTGAAAGAGATTGCCTCGAACGATGATCCCCCTTGATGTCTTCCAGGCTTTTTTTTTTTTAATCATCTTCTTCAGGGAGGGCTGGAAAACTTGTTGTCCATTGCCATTTCTATTATTTCTCTCCCAGTGTAGAATTTGAACGTCATGCTTGCAGCAAATTTCACTTGGAAACTTTTTTTTTAAATCTAGGCTATCTCTTTCGGGAACTTCACTTAAGAGCTGCAGGGTGTGCACATTGTACTCTCTCTTACACATTGTCAGCTCGCTTAATCAGCAGAACAGTCACACAGAATATACACCACAGGTCAATTAGCACACGGTATAGTACTGTATTACACTGAGCTCTGAGCAAGAGAGGAAAGGTCCAAAGCCAGTGGCGTTATAAAACACGTCACCTTTTAATGTGTATGCGAACAAGCTTTGCAGAGACAACATGCTATGGCCCACCAAAGGCTGTGCAACAGATGTACAGATGTAACAGTTTCCAGTTTAAGGCCGTCTGCTGGTAAAATTTCCCATTTTTATCCAGTTTGACCATGCAAATTTTTTTTCTTCATTTTTGAAACCTACATCCATTTCCCCCGAAGTTTCATGCGCCCGTTTCAATCAATTATGTTTAGAAGTGTAAAAATGGGTTTTTTTAAATAATTTGCAATTTTGGGTCTTGTTTTAAATTATTTTCTTCATTTTTTTTCCTTTTCAAATACTTATTTTTCCGACTTCAAATTATGTTTTCTATTATTTTTTATCTGAATGGCTTTATTGTTTTATACAGTGTGCACCCATGGGTGACCTTTCCTGAAATAGATCCTTTTTTTGAAAATAATAAGAAAATAAAGTTAATCAGTGTCTTTGATGGGAATTTAGAGGTTTTTTGCTCTTTGTCCATAGTACATATTTCCAGAGTTCATAATTATTTTCGAAATGGAAATATTACAAATCTGGCATTATTTGTTCATTACATAGGTGTTGTAGTTTGTACTTACTAAAAATGAAAGCCAAAAGACGAAAAATAAGAGAGAAGATAGCTTTTGAGATTTGATTAAATTATCCTATATGGCGGGCGTTTGCTTGGTTACCATGTCCTTATAATAATTAATTACTTGAATTTATTCTTTGATGTCAAATATAAATATATCCTCATTGCTATATTTGGTCAAGGGATATGGATTTAAAAATTTCACCGGCAGATGGCCTTAAGAAACATCCACTGTATATAGACATACATAGACTAAGAATAACAATAATATCATGCCTTTCCAATAGCATACACAATGGGCAAAAAAAAAAGCAAGATACATGTGAAAATGTACACAATTCACACACAAAAAGTGACAGTCCCAAAAACAATAAACCTGAAGATAACTCTCATATATACATAACATGATAACCACCATGCCTTCTCAGTATTGAACATCTTGTGAACCACAAAAGTATAGCTTGTTCACTTTGGTCTGTCTGCAGCTAAAAAGGGATAAAATCAAATTACTCTCTTTAGCTCTATTTCTCCAGGGGGGGGGGGGACCTATATGCCGGAACCCTCTTTTGGTATGAAATCTAAAAGTGACATACATGTAACAAAACTGGTACCAAAGCCCATAGAGCATGCAAGGAAGGTATGTGTGCATTGGTCAATAAATGAGCTAGAATTTTTTCAATGCGGACAGACGAAAGTGAACAGGCTTTACTACAGTTATGCTTTATTAAAGTCATGCAGACTCAACAACATAGCAGAATATCCAGAAAACTAAAAAGCGTGGATTAAAAACACAAAAATATTTATAGGAAAACCATATCACTGCCACAGCCATTGACAGAATGCCTATCTCAAGTTACTTGAGAAAAATAGCACAATGACTGAGCACAATCTTTTAACCATTATAACCCAAGAGCTTTTCTTGGTCTAGACAAGACATGAAAATGAAATTATAACAAGTCTAGAAATATTCCTTTCAGCATTTCCAGTGTGTCATTTAAAAAGCAGATAACTCCAACGACGTTTATCTTGCTAGAGACATCACAAAAAATATCCTGAAACTTCTTTCTACTATCCAATTGAATTTTAAAGCATTTCAAGTCAATTCTATAGCTTCAGGGGTAAAATTACATACTTTTATCCGCCACTTATACCCTTTTGGGTGCCGCGGGTGTATAATTACATAAACATAAAAAAGAAAGCATCATGTACCGCCATTGAATATACCTCGAATTGGTATGTGAGTTCTTGTTTGAGGTTTGTGAATGGAGAGGACCTCAGGTCATAACCATTGACACTGTTGCTCATCTTTGAGACAAAGAATCTGACAGTGGCAGACCACATCCACTATTTCACACTTACGCATGCAGCAAACACATCTATCAAACTTCATTGTAAATTGTAAGCTTTATGCCCCCATCGACAGAGCCTATGAGAGCCAACCAAAGCCCAGTAAGATAGAACATCCTTACAATCCTAGAATACAGGGATACTTCTCCAGACGGGAATCCAAATTATTTATTGTGATGGCAAATGCCTAACCATTACAATATAGATGCTGGCTTCCTTTACACAAACCATGCAGACCAAAATGGACAAATGTAGAGTGAAAACATACAGATCACATTCCACATTTTAAAAAAAACAAAAAACCACAGCTGCTATAAGCAAGGGGCAAGGCACAATAACCATGAAAGCAATAATCACGAAAAGTAATGTTAAACCATGTTAACACTCATGTCACTGTAACACTATACAAACATTTTGCTAATAACACAACATATGTGAGGCAGTGTGGTGAAATTAGGCGCTCATCAAAATAAAAAAATTGGAGACACCTGCATTTTTCCGCAAGTTTTCACATTTTGATCATATTTTTATTTTTTGGCTGAATCTCTTTCATGACCATATTAAAATACATTTCCCGGTGAATTATATTGAAAGACATTGATTAAAGGCACAAAATATGTCATTTTTCAGTTTTCAAAGACTCTTTAGCCAAGGTATTGGAGTTATCAACCTTTGGCAGCCATTTTCTCTCTAATTTCACTACTGAAACCAGGCGACCTCACTTTCTTCAATCGCAGCTTGAGTTTTATTCAAGATAAATGGATATTTATTTAATTGGAAGCAAGGCAAATAAATCAGCTTTCACATGATACCGATAACTCCAAAGGTCCAAAAATTCACGAGCGCTTGATTCCACTGCATCGTGACACTTTTTTTTTTTAAAGAGCGATAAAGAAGAGAAATATGATCTTTATCTCATCTTCAAAAGATCTTTACTTTATCCAAACATTTTACAAATGACAAAATATAGAACAAACAAAACGTGCAATAAAAAAGAGAAATAAGATCTTATCTTTATCTTCAAGATAAGTGAGGTCAGTATGAGAATCTTCAAGATAGATGAAGAGTGCATGCCGACAAATAAAAAAACAAGAAACCAAAAAAAAGCCCCCCCCCACGTTATCTTCAAAATGAACAAGTTCTTCACATAACTCAACTCATTCCATGCCAAAGCACTATGTATAACCAATATGAATTACTGCAACAATGCCAATCTCAAAGTATTGGCAATATGCATATCATTTGTTTCACGCCTCACTTTTTCGAGTACATTTCCGATCAGCATTTATCAGTTTTATTCACTTTTTCATAATCCTCAGTCTTAATAAATGTATAGAGGAGGCATCATGGTGAAATCAGGCACTTGTCAAAATACTGAAATTGAAGATATCTGCATTTTCCCGCCATTTCGGCAATTTCTAACGAATTTTTGGTTTGTGGCTCAACACCAATGTCCATTTAAGAACACATTTCTGTGTGGACTTTACTGAAAAAACGATCAGAGGAACAAAAAAGTAAATATGCCATTCCCAAAGACAAACTAATCATACGACCACATTTGACAAAATGAACAAAAAATGAGAACCTGAAATAGGCGTGGGCCAGACAAAAATTTGCCAGGCAAACAAGTGGAATTGACACCGACATGAAAGAGTTAAGATAAATGAGTCACAATGAATCTTAAAGATAAAAGAGTCCATGTTATTTTTCGTCAATGAGCTCTTTCACCCCGTCTTCCAGGGAAATTAGTCCATACTATACTATCTTCCTGACAAATCAGCATGCTCTGTAATCTTGAAGAAGACTGAGCTCAAATAATCTTCAAGAACAGCAAGTATTCTTCTTCAAAACAAATAAGTATTTCACCTATCTTCCAAATAAGTTCATGTTATCTCCAGAATAAACAAAGCTAAATGAACTCTTCCCGTTATCTTCAAAGCAAAAGAGGTCATCAACAATTTTAAAGAAATTATATTCAAGAGAGTATTAGCGAAAGCAGAGAGAAGCCATGCAAAAGGGCAAGCTAGCTACAAGCTGGGCAAACAACCGCCCCTGAGGGAGCAGTGCAACCACAACAAGCACTATCTCACCTTATCCAACTTCTCCTTTTGAGCAGCTTTCTTTTTAGCCCGATGATGCACCGTTTGCCATTCTTCCAATGACAATTGAGGCGCACTGAAATGGATGAACAATCAAGGCTAAACATGTGGCAACAACTACGGAGCAGCAGTGACCTTATCTTAAAACTGTCTTACCCTAATGACAAGCACAATTATTCATACTATTTAAAATTCATTGAAACCCTATAAAAGTGTTTAAAGTGTTTCAAAAAGGAATTTCACCATCATCTGTGATGCACGATAAAATTGGTTTTTGACTTTAAGATTAACCATTTTTTTAAAAACCTCACTTTCACTAACTTCAAAACTACTGCCCCTTCAATTACAATCGTTTCTTTTCAATCTGAACACAAAAAAACATTTGAAACTTTCTGGGACGAAAAAAAAAACAAGTATAAAGGTTAGGAATATAGACGTTCCAGACAACAGAACAGGTTGGGAAGGCACAACCAGACAAGAGTGGTCTGTTAAAGGACAACCTAAAAGTTTCAGAGGGATCTTAAACAATAAAGCTGGTCGTAATGGCTCAACCATAAAAGGGGTATTCTTTCTACACACGGTCAACAAGTTTAGTGGGGTTTTTAAACTTTTATTTCAACTTTAGTAAGCTTTATGGCACTTCCAGCACAAATAGGCCATAAACGTACTGACAAGGTCGTATACGCACTGAAGATTTGAGGCATTACTCGATAGTAATACACAAAGAAAAGAATTATATATGTTTGATAGAAAAGAAGGAGCAAACAACACCAGACCGCCCACCAACCACCCACCATGTAAACAACAAACTATCTTAGCTTGATCTAAAATGAAAGAAACAGCTAGAAAAATCTCATTCAACGTCCATTCTGCAATGGATTAAAAAAAAAAAATCTTTGCTCAGTTATTCTAACAAAACTGGGCGTGAAGGCTCAATCAGACAAGGACCATTCCACAAAAGTTGACCAAAGACGTGTGCTTAGTGTCAATACAATAGAACCAGTTGTGATAGGGGATAACCAGACAAAGATTATTCTCAAATCAACAAAAGATCCCAGCCCAGAGGAGTCTTTACAAAACTGACTGCGAAGACTCAGCTAAACAACTGCCATTTTCTATGTTCTCAAACGATTCCTGTTCAGTGTTCAGACTCATTGAAACCATTGGAGAAGGCTCAACTGAATGAGAATCATTCTCTGATATCGTATCTTCAGATTTTTTTCCTTCAAGGTCTGAATCAGAGGGTTGTGCAGGTTCCTCTGAACAAGTGCCATTCTCAAACTGTCTCTGTCCTGAGGAATTTAAAGTCGATTCTGGCTGTGAAAGCTCAACCAAACCGTCGCCATTCTCTACAGGGTTAGCAAAAGAAAACCTGCTTCTTTCAGAGCGTGAACTTGACACAACCAGTTGTGGAGACCCCACAGAATGAGGGGGGGCACGCGAGACAAACGGCTGTGCACCAGGATTTAACCCAACCATACTCACTTCAAATTGAGGTGGCAAATGGTCACTCAACGAAGGGGCAGCTTCAAACAACACATGAGGGGCTGCCCAAGGGTTCAACCCACCAACATCCAACTCTGACTGGTCAGAGCTGAAATGAGCAGAATGCAGTAAGCTATGCTCGACTGCACTGAATTGTGGCGAGTTCAGGCTCCACTGCGCTGAATTTGAATCAGAGAGGTATTGCTCAAATCCATTCCACTGAAACTGGGCAAACTCATTGGGAACGAACGGAGAAGCCTGAAAGTTTAACCTAGGGGTATTTGTTATTGGGGGGACACATACAGAAGCTTCTGTGCTCCCTGACACATGGCAATTTGGTTCATTTGAGTTAGACAGGGGGGAGTAGGACTCAAAGGGGGATGTTCCTGGAGCTCCCACTCCAGAGATTGGGAACGCGGCGGCCTCTTCACGCCTGCGCTGGTCAGACAAAAAATTGTCTAACCTTGACGACAGGATGGGAGGAATTGTTGTAAGATTGCTTGTTGCGTCACAAAGGCGATTATCTTCCTCCTCATCATTTCGTGATGTCGACCAATGAGAGTCTTCTGTCTGTGAGCCGGACTTGAAATCTGAAGAGGAAAGAAACCCACAAACCAAGATGAAGACCAAATCAAGGACCACAACACTTTTGATAAAACATGCTCTTATCATCTTTTCAAATACTTAAGGCACGTAGTTACTAATACAGTCTTAGGCAGGACTGATCAAGATGGAGAAAACAAACCATTCCCATCTGAGGTCCCAATCGAAAGTAGACGCATTAAGTTGTTTTGTTGTTGTTGTTGGTTTGTATTTTGTTTGTAATTTTTATTTTGTTGCTGATTTTGCGCAAGGGTGACAATAAAACGAAATGTATCAGACGACGAAGACCGAGTGTCATGTTAACTCTTCATGTTAGTAGAGTATTTTCGTTCTGACAGAAGCCTCCCGGGGACTGATCCTATACAGCAGTAGAGTGGGTTACAAAAGTCTATATAACTTTCAATCTACTAGGCCCACATCGAAACTTTTGGTATGTTTGTGTTCAGAAATGAAAGTTGCATTTATTGGTGTTCATTTTAGATGCCTTCTATGAAGAAGAATAATAGACTATCAAAGTAAATGGCCATTAGCAAAAAAAAATGTAATATTACATAACACTGTTCACACAAATATGGGTGTAACTTTATAAAACTTGAACATAGAGCCAAAGTAAAAGAAGCAAAAATGTTGACATACATTCTAGGATTACATCTATGGTGGCTGTAGCTTCTTTGAAGCCCATTCTTTTGAAATACACCAAAATAATAAAATGTATCAGAACCCACATTCGGCATAAAAAGTGTAAACACAGCTAGATCTAGATCTAGATTTCCATATATACACACTTTGTTATGCAATAAATCATAAAGGCTTACATTTATAGTTTTGTTTGAATATACCTAAATATGAAAACTGTGTCTTTATGCACATTTTCAAAGTAATTTTGAGTAATTATTTGAAGTTTCCAGGTGTAAGATGAGGTGTACAATAACCACATATAAAAGCCACATTCACATAGACATAGGCCTACATATTACGATGAACTAACTTGAATAGAGCCTCAACAAGATCCAACATCTAGATCTAGACATAATATCCAAATGGAATGAAAACTTTGTCTCAGTATAATCCAAACAAGAAAACTGTCACTATAATTATTTCAGGAGCAATCTCCAGCCATTATAATCTCCCTAACCAACACAAACAAATTATACACAAAAAATCAGCTGTTTGGAAACAAGCCATCAAATCTAGCAAACGCGCCCGCACAAACACTACAAAATGAAAGTACAAACAGAAAAAGACCTTCTTTCGGCATTTGCGACCATAATTTCGGTTGATGTCGTGAAATATTAGTTTCGCGTGTATTTAATGAAGGCTAGTGTAGTGAGCCGATGTCAGCGGCTCGCCGGCCAAACCCACTTTGCGCCGAGCCGCTGCCACCTGTTCACTGGACATGAAGAGTTAAAACAAACCCATGGGTCGCCACCACTCGGAAAACAAGCGACCCTTCTGTCACAAGTTCATGTTGACGTCCATTGTTACTTTGTTACTGACTGGGCAAACAGTGACCACTCATCTCACTTACGATTTGTGTATGAGTTCTGGGCGGGGCTTATGGGTTATGAGGGATCACACACTTACCTCACCAGCAGCTGAAAATGGGTAGCTATTGGTCAACAGTCGAAGGGGCCTACGCAACATGATCGGTTGGAGGGACTACGTAACAACAACAGGTGATTGAATTATGACGGCTCGCCCATAACGCCAGGGGCCAATGCACAATTTATGACAAAACGTAACGGAGTCACTAAGGTGGCCGTCTAAGACAGGTGTTATTGCTTAGTGTGATAGGGATTGTGTGTTAAAATATGGTGGCCGCGGCCGCGTTGGACAGGTGCCTATTTTACACAGTTAAATTATATAGAAAAAACGCAAGGGGGGAAATGGAAAGTGGCCGTTTGTACAGGTGGCCGTCTTAGAGAGGTGGCCGTCAGGGCAGGTTTGACTGTATTACATTTTCTTAGTCAAAAAAATTAAAATGGAATAAAGGTTGCTATAGTAATACAGAATGCATTTTTAACAATACATGTTGAATTGGTGGGTGTGTATCTACAACTATTGGCTGAAAATGAAACGTGACTCTTGGCAAAACGAGGAAAAGGGGCATTTTCTTTTCAAATCAATATCTAATATCTATAATACTGGGATTATCCAACAACGGTCATTTAGTGCTTGTAAGAGTTGGTTTCGTTTTGTTTTGTTTTTATTATATGTGCTCTGTGCCCTCCCTGATACAATTTAGATTTTCAAAATAGTAACAACAGGTACAAAAAGAAGTAGGACCTACCAAGAGCACCTTCCAACCATACACATGAATATAGTCAAGGCGCTGTAGGCTGCTTTAATCAAAATAACAAAACTGCTTTGAGCAATAAATTTTAAACAAACGAAAAGTGGGCACATGAGGTTTCCATAAGCTTCTTTTGGCAGAGTAGATAAGAAAAGTGATGGTCAAACTCCAGTAGATCCTGTCTTATGTCATTTTGACAATCAAGCAGTCAAACTTCCAAGATTCTGGAAATCTTTGGCAAGGGTCTCGGGTCGCTTGCTTACACACACACACATTTAATTCCATATCTCTTACCCTGCTGGGATCGGGGAACAAATTCAGGAGCATCGCTGGCAAGGCTTCTCAGCTGAAAGGGTTGGCCTGGGACAAATTCGGGGGCATCCGAGTGAAGGGTGGACATGGCAGCCACTCGCTGGACAGCAGGTGGTGGGGGCATACTTCCGCTGAAGTCATCTTTGATGGGCCACAACTCCGGGGAGTTGAGAGTGCGAACATACTCCTCATTGTCAGACAACTGGAGCTTGTCGGAAGCCTTGATGCACTGGAAAGAGGGGGGGGGATCAAAGATCAGTTTTAAAGCACCAGTGAGCAGAAGGTTACAACACCATTGACTCATGTATCACTTTCACTTACATTAACACAATTTCACTTTAATACAAAACAAACAACAACAAAAAAAACAACAACATAAGAATTTGCCAAATGAGGAAAGGAACATAAAAATCTGACGGGACACCACAATGCTGAGAATAGTTTGGTATAAACTGAATAAACAGGAGGGCCTAGATGATTACACATGTTTAAAGTCACAAGAGTAAACCCGTCTTGGACACTATAAGCCACCGAATTAACTTGAAAAACTATAAAAAGGGATGAAAAATAAAATTTCACTCACTGATAGTACCCTTCGGTCCAGACACGACATAAAATACATGTTTTCTAGGTTCTCAGCAGCTGGGGGGGGGGATGTTGGACATTTAAGTTTTCAAAAGAGTTTACAGCATTTGCAACCCAATTAGGTCATTTAAGTCCCAAAGGTCACAGGTGTTACAAGAGAGTAACTAACACAAATTAAAGGAGAGATAAAGACGACATGTTTGATAAGGAGCAAACCACACCAGAGCCCCCGCCAACTACCAACAAATGGGATGAAGGGCTGAAAGCTGACCTGTATTAGGCTCTTCTGATCTGCTTTCAGTTCCTTGACTTTATTGAAGCTTCGCAAAAGTTCAAGTCTGACCCAGCCGTCTGTGTCCATCTTCTTTCGAAGGAAGAGATCTTTCACAAGATTGTCTTCGCTAAAATAGTACTCTCTGTAGAAAAAAAGGTACATAATTAGGATGAAAACATGGGAAACCAAATATAGCAATGAAATTTTGCAAACAGACCTCTTACGGTGTTCACAAAAAAAATTGCTAAAAAATGAGTTAATTCATATTATTGTCCACGGGACTTTACATTTTCAAGTGGGATACGAGAAGAAGAATCATATTGAATCTACACACAAACAAGAGGAAGAAAAGAAGGTGTGAAAAAGAAAGGATGAAAGTGCAGAAAGTTTAACTAAAGGAAAGAAACAAATGAGACAACGGGAACTCACATTTGATGGCGCAGTGTCTCTGGGGGGTAGGTGTTGGTGGCGCTCTCATAGAACATGGAAGTCTGGCCCAACAGGTTGAGCAGAGCGTCCTGAAGGTACAAGTTAGGGTCAACGCCCAGCATCACTGTTGAATGAAGAGAACAACCAAAATGAAAGAAAAATTATATGACAATTTAAAAAACATATATATAGTTCTTGGCTACATTCATAAATACTGTTATTTGCCCCAAAGGTCCAAAATATTTTCACCTTTTCTCAAGTCATGCGCATTTTGTAACTACAGTCAATTTCTTCTTCAAAACTGGATTTAGAGGTAATTCTGCAGCTTTGCTGATTCTGCCCAAATATAAGACAAACTGTAAACCATATTTGTGCTTCAGAAGAGTCATCAGACCTTTCCCCTCTCTTCCAAAACTTTAGATCTTACTAAATGCTACGAGAACTAAACAGTCTAACTTCTGTGACTAGTGACTAGAATCGGGGGGGGGGGGTTAAATTCTTAAACACATGATATAATAAACTAAAGTAAACACAAAAGGAACTGCACTTCAATTATCAAGTTGGTAGGGGGTAGACAGGAGGTTATATAATCATGCAGTGCGTTGGAACATCATTAGCATCAACATCAGCCAGGGTCCAAAAGACCATGCTTTATACAGGCAAGACATATTAGTACACATAGTTCAGCCATTCCAGAACTACACTTTCTGAGTGACAACAGTTTCATACATATCTTATCATAACCCAAGTGCCCAGGCTATTCTTTTTGTGTGGATAAAATCAAAGAAGTGATCCCTACTGCTTCAGTTGCAATTAAAGCAAAGTAAACAAATCAAATTATTGGCATTTTTGATGAAGCAGTTGTTTCAGTGTTTGTGTATATATCAATTATCATTCCTTGACTTGTGAAAAGTTACTGGAGACATCCCTCAAAAAGGTTTAGGCATTTGTGTTAAGACAACGATGACATGTATGACAAAGACTTCTTGGGAAGGGATTAATGTGGAAAATACAAAGTTAGTAACAACACAACCTCCCACCCTCTTGACACAGCTAAAGAAAATATAAAAACAAGCAGAAAACAAAGCTACTTTTCTCCCTGAAAAAAAATGTGTTTCAACACGATGTTTTCTGTTTTCAGGCTCTCCTCATTGTTTGGGGATATAAAGCCAGAAGTAATCATCTTAAATTTGCTCATTCGTCTTGTCTTGATTTTAAAAATATTTATTTATCTTGATTGGAAGTCGAGACATTTGTGATACAAGGATGTGGCGGTCTAGTGGTGTCAAGAGGTAAAATAACTGAGAAAATGATTTCAACACAGTGACATACAAATCCTGTTTATGGGGAGAGGGGGGGGACAGTTTAAACGTAAGTCTTTCCCTCTTCCCCTTTTGTACAATAAAAAGAGAAATAAAATTTGACTCCAATCCCTCAACCTAAATTGTTCCTTTCTTCGCCCTTAAAAACTATGCAACACCATTTAATTTCTTGAACCCTCAACATTTCCCCAACAAACAGAGTCATCAACAGCCCTGTCAACACATGGTGATCATGCATGTATTAGTGCAATCATAATTGAACAACTACACCTTGGAGAAGGATAGGGGGGAGGGAGTAAGGAAGGAAGAGGAGGAAAGGGGACCTGTATGGATAAATCTAGAACACAAATGAGTTTAAGAGTCGCACATCTACTAGTCACTATAATACACCAAAAACTCATAAGGGCTGCAAATAACTCACAGCAAAAACATTTCCAGACCTATGGCATTTGTTCCCCCCAGTTGAGTATAAGAAGACTACAAACAGAAAGCGGGAATAAGCTGTCATAGAGCACATATCATAAAATCAAGCAACTACTCAAAATTCCCTGTGAGACGTCTGAAAAGTGAAAGTGCAAGAATTCTAGTATTCTGGAAAGCTCCTGAAAAGCAGCACCCCCCAATCACCACTGAAAGGAAACGTAGAGGGTATTCTTTGCTTCCACATAATTTGTTAGTACAAAATGGGATCCCATGAGAAGAGTGTACTACTCAAAAATTTGCTTTTAAGGGGGAAAAAACAAAACTTCACACACAAGGCAGCAGTTGGAGGTGAACATTCATCTTTTGTGATGGTATCAAAGTAATAAATATAGTCAGCCTTGTTCATTCTTTATTTTCCTTCTTTTTTTATATACAAAACATACAAACAATGGTTAAAACAGGGTCTTGAGTGAAAAAGAAAAAAAATTTGACCAGGGGAAAAACAATGTGAACAGAGCCACTACTACACAGTGACTAAAAAGCTGTAACAATAATTAACTGCTGTGCTGATGAAAGGGTTGGATAAAACATCCAACCTATTTCTGAAATTTGGAGGGGAGAGGGTCCAGTGGAGAGAATCTGTCTTTCACTTACAACAGCAGTATTTCCTATGTCACAGTCGACAGACTGAGTACAAGGAACCTGTCCTGTAACAGGTATGGGAACTCATTTCCAACAATGTTAAGCTGAATGAAAAACAACGACAATTTTGAGCTTCGAATACCCAGAGAAGTGCAACAGCTTCAGACAACTTAGTCCTTTCACAGACAAGTGACCCCTTTCTTTCACAGATAATTCAGACATAAATGACAGGTTCAATAATATATCGAGTACAACAAGGCCAAAACTAATTCTGGAAGTGAACTTTAAACTGTTTCGCCTTACACTTAGTACTACAAATAATTCAATTTTTTTATTCTTTTAGACACAGCATGTAATCATAAGAGTTAATGTTTATTGTCCCGTCACTCAGACTGATCATAAACCAGACATATCAAGCTGTCCAGTAAGTAAAACTGGGTATTCAAGCTCTCCTGGTCATGCACACAAAGGAAAGCAGATGGTAAAAAGGTACAACAGCCATAATAACCTGGAGGATTTATGGGAGGGACACGGGGTAAATTTTGGATAGTGTTGAACCCGGAGCTCCAAGGTGCAGCTGCGAGAAAGAGAAAAGAAATTAAACCAAGAAATGACAGGCAAAGAGAGTGGAGGTGGAAAAAAATAAAAATATGGTGATACTGTTATCGTATAATTCCATAAAAAGTCCATACAAGGTCAAGAAGAAAGTTTTCCTGTCATTTCCCAAAAAGAATACTAGTAACTGCTTTCTCTCTACTTGTTTCTCAATTTACAAGCCTTCAACCTTTAACACCAAATCTGAGATAATGTTTGGATTCTTCATTCTAATTACAAATGAAACACACCAAAATACATCCATATAACTTTATTTCAAGCTAAAAGCAAACCTCTACCAAAGACAGCAGCAACCCTTTACAAATGCCAAACCAAGCTCAAGATGCAAAAGAAAGGTTTCTTGATAAAGTAAATAAATCAACCCCCCAAAAAATTACTAAAGTAAAACAGAAAGTAACTTAAACATAGAAGTACAATTGAACCTGCTCTAACATCTTTCCAAATGACCACTATCTTTCCTCGACAGTGGTTGGTTTAACTGTACTTAGCTATGGACTATCAATAGGCACTTGACTGAAAAATATAAATATGTCTTTGATTTCTGTTAACACTGCCTGCCAATTCATGTGCCCCCATTATCATACATTTATCACTACAGGGTGCCCCCCCCCCCCCAATTCCAACAGCCCTGCTGCAAAACAGCACTGCACCCAATATAATTTAAAGAAACTGAATTATTGTAAAATCCAATAACTTTATCCAGTTGCTTAAAACTTCCAAAGAAGAATGAAGAAAAGGACACATTTCATTAGGATGAGATAATATAAGAGCAACACAGAAAAAAGTAGAAAAAAGATTACCACAAAGTGCCTACCCATCCCCAGTATTTTTCTTCTGCCCACTTCACGTTTAATTTTTTTTCTTAAAATGACTTTGCAATAACATTGAACCTGATCAGAAAAGATAAACGACAGAGAGAAGAAGAAAATATTTGGGCCTTAGAGCTGAGGGGAAGGGACTAAAGTTCGAGAAGGGGGGGGG